TTCTAAGAAAAAACAGTTTCTTCAACTTAAAATCTCAACAAAAGGACATACAATTTGTACAGGAAATGATCACTCATTTTCTCTGGAAGAACCAGCTCATCTCCTTCGTGTCGCTTCTTCTCTTTATCATCACAAATTCTGAGTGACTTAGACCTATGATTTTAACACGCTTCTGGACATTTTTTCATTCCCATCTTTGTGCCTTTAGCGTCTCCTGGGTTCAATTTCCGGGAAAATTGCTCGTTATCGTGTGCTATCTCTCTAACGAGTACAAAGTTTTGAAACTTACGAACAGCAGCATACTCGCCAGAAGGCAGAGCTCTACTGCATGGTCATATAGTGCCTGATGCACTGCGTCAGCAAAACGCACCTGAATTGCAGCATTTCCTTAAAGAACTATCACAGAATCCTTTTTAGCTAATAAGTCCCTACACAGCAAGCAATTTATTGTGTTCCTTGTGTTGAATTCTAGAATAGACTTCCTTGGCCAGGAGTGCGAGCTTTGGGGATAAATTGACAAGACAAAATTATAAGTTTCATGCCTAAAAATACTAGCAGCTATCCGGGTTTGAATTGATTTCAATAAGTACAGAGTATATTTCAAGTATAGGACGTGTACTATTCACGATTTGGGAATTTATTTTAATGTTTAACTATGCACCCCGACTTAAATCAATTTCGAATTCACACGTAAATCAGAGTATGGGACGAATAACACCAACGACAAGGGAGACAGATGTTTTACAATATCATCGAGAAAAATATTAAGTCTGTCTCGGATAAGAAACTCGATCGTTCATGTACTTACCTCGTGATGGAACACCTTTTACAAAGTCTGATGCCGAAAGTTAGTATATCTGTACCTCTAACTGGCTATGGGATTCCATTTCTTTCAGTTAATTGTACATAAATAATTACTTTTTAATATGGAATCTTAGGGAATGTACTTTCTCTAAATTGCGTATTGATTAATAAGATGCATTTGTTAATATCAGTAATTTAAATGGTATTTATTAAGTCATAGGGGTTGTATTAGCGCCTGTCATCCATTGGTACTACATCCCTGAGACACTGAAATAAACTTACTATTATAATTATTATTGTTATCATTATTATTATTATTATCATTATTATTATTGTTATCATTATTATCTGTTCTATCACAATCTTCGCTGGAGCTCTTGCTTTTGTGCATCAGCCGGGCGCAACAAACCATGAACCTAAGGCATCAGTCACTCAAATCAATATTCTGTTCATACACTAAACAACTTTCTGAGGATTCGCGCAGAACCCAGCATGCAGATCTTTTGAATCTCTGTCACAATATTGTTATCAATATTATTATTGTTATTATCATTATCATATGATATTCTCGCGCAGGGATTTTTTTCGAGCGTATTCTGCTTGGCAAAGTCATTACTCGAGACTAATTTGATTTAAAAGAATTAAATTCATTTATCTCTGCTCTTCTTTCGTTTTTACCCAATGGATGGATTGGAGCCCTCAATGGGATCTTCGCTTCTTTGAGTTTCGGGCGTTTAGTTTCAGTCCAAGTGTCGCGGATCATTTTAATTTCCCAGCTCTGGAAATTTCAAAGAACCTATTCCCTCAGGTAGTCATATTTATTATTGTGAGTTTATTTTTAGTTGTAATTTTAGCTTTTAAATTATTGTAAGTTTACTCTTAATAATAATTTTGGGTTGTTAGCCTTTTCATTTCGTTTTTAATTTTGTCATGCGCATTTAAACATTTTATAGAATTTGCGCATTATAAATGTCCTATTATTATTATTATTATTAGTCATATACAAGCAAGTACCTGTATTAATAAAAAAAAAGTTTTACTCTCACGTGTTGATTGGGACATCGATTTGAACGAAAGATTTTTTTTCTTTTTTTTTTCCAAAAGGACTATACCATCATTTGAAACCCTCTTTAATCGTTTTTCGAAAGAATGAGTTATACTCAGATAAACAAGTAAGGCTCCGTTTTAATTTCAATGTAATCTACAATCAACCAGTTGCCTTGACAACTTATCAAATTTAACAGCATCAAGCTTCTAAAATAGAGAACTTTCAAATATTTTCTTTATGACAAGCTACAACCAGAAAGCTGAAAAATATTGTACGACTCAATTTAATGACAATGACATGTCTTTTGTAAAAGCACGATACACTTAATTTTACTTCTATCTGCCTATTCTGAAAAAGGGTTTCTCTACGAAAGGATAGTTGGTTTTGATTTTAAAAACAAATGAAGTAATTCCAATTATCTCACAGATAATGCTTTGGATTAACGTTGAAATCTGGATTTCAAGTGCGTATCGATTCAAGTAACTCTTATGGAAAAAAGCATGTTTCGTTTGAGCAACCTTTTTGACGTCGTGAGCAAAACTGGATGAATTGTTACAAGAGACGTATAATGAGGAAGAAAAGAGCAAATAATTTGCCAAAGAAATTAAAAATAGTTGAGATTATGTGAGTTTTAAAGCCACAAACTTAAAAGAATATAACCTTGACTCTCAAAAAGACTGATTAAACCTCAACGTAGCTCTCTAGACATTACAAATACCTTCAGAGGCTGTAACGTACATGTTACTTTTTTGTGCTTCACTTATATAGATGGTCATACTAGTCTACTAATAGAGGTGAAAGAGATATACACATAAGGACCACATAGTATCATCTGGACAGCTTGCCACTTTTTAAAAAATTACACAAATGACTACACTTATAGTAAATAGAATCTTGTGGATTTCGCCTCTTATCAGAGGTTCTCAATAAGGTGATGGTTTCAGCGACTAACGGTTATTTTTTGGCAATACGGCTCGTACTTAATTTATTTCCCTTGCAATTAAAAAAACATACGGTTATCTTTTTTGACGACTAATGGTTGAAATAGTTCGCTGAATTATAACCACAAAAACTATATGTTCCTATGTTCTTCTGTCCCTGTTTGTGGTGAGAAAAATCAAAGCTTTAATTATAAATCATATGATGATGTGGATGAGGGAAATCCCAGTGATCAGTTTCCACCCCCTCCCTTTAGACCAGCACGTCCTCCTGGGTTACAATTTGAACAGCCTTTGCTCAGGGGTAGGATGCAAACTGCTGTTGAGTTTTTTAAATTATTTTTCACTGAAGAACTGGTGAATAATATTGTTAGGCACACCAACAGCTATGCCGTTGAACACATTACTGAGGGTACCCATCGTAGTTATGCTCAAGCGGATGGATCATGGAAGGACACAACACCGGAGGAGATATACCGGTTGATAGCCCTTCTGATCTATTTTGGGTTAGTTAAAATAGGTATAACTGTTAACAGGTATTGGAGTACCAAGACCCTCTACCATGGTCTTTGGGCAAGATCCATCATGCCCAGAATACGATAAGTCTTGCAATGGGTTGACAGTAAAGTAGTAACTGCGATCACCACTACTGGTAATGCTAATGACTCTGTTCAGGTAAAGCGTAGAGTAAAAAATAAAAATGGTGTATGGAACACAGTAGATGTACGTCAGCCTCAGGTCTTTGCAATGTACAATCAGTATATGAATGCTGTGGACCGATCTGACCAGATACTGGCCACCCACAATGTGCAACGCAAATGTTCAAGGTGGTGGAAGACACTTTTTTATCACCTCATTGACATTGCTGTTGTCAACAGTTTTATTCTTTTCAGAGAACACCAGCAGAAGAATCCAGATAATCCTGCCCTCAAAAGGATATCAGAATATTCTCAGGGTGACTTCAGGGAGGAGATTATCCGTGGAATCTGTGGCTTTCCTGACTATGATGACCCACCTGCGTCCACTTCAGGCAGACCCTCAAGGCCAGATACCCAAGCCAGCCAATTTGTGACAGAACACATTCCAGTTCAGGCTGAGCATAGGAGAAACTGTGTGGTCTGCTACAAGGAAGGTAGGGGTGAGGTAAAGGTGCAAACCTACTGCAGTGCACCGCAGTGTGAGGGAAAGTACATGCATGTTGCTAAGCAGAGGAACTGCTTTGCAGTATTTCATAGTGCAGAGTATCACCTTCCTGATCCTTGAACCTTGATTTCCTGATTGCTCTGAAACCCTCTGTAGTTTTATGTTGTGTTATACATGTACATAGGAGAAATGTTGTGTTTTGTTATTGCTTATGCTTTGAATATTGTGATGAATGTCTTTTATCATTTAGCTGTGGGGCCTGCCTAGATGTGGCAGGGGTGAGAGGAGGGTGCCCCACACCCTTTTTTTTTACCAGCATTTTCTTGAAGGTAAATACACACCACTCAAACTATATGTATGATAGAAAAAAAATTTCCATTTTATTCACTTCGATCAGTGTTCACTAAATATGTGTCACACATCTCAGATTTGTTTTTTTTCCAGCCAATTTTTATGGAAATGTTGCTCATATAACAAGGAACCTTTTTGGTTAATTTTTGCCTCAGTACTTCATATCATTTGGGTAACACTTAATTCACAGTTCAAATTTTGATGATATTGTATGCTAATTAAAGTTAGTTTGAAAGCATTCAATGAGGTTGTTTCCTTTTTCTTGGAGAGGAAACATGCATTTCAGGAAAGCTTATTTACTGCTGTTTCAATTGAGCTATAGCTTACTTCTCTTGTGTAAATACTTGGTGAGGAATAAATTTTTCAATAATCTGGGTCAATTTTTATGGTTTTGGGGTACAGTTTGTAAAAAAATTATAATTAATTATGTATTTGTTCTTTTTCAGCCAGAGTCTCTGGATATCTTGCCCTTAATATAAGGAATATTTTATCTTAGAAATGTTTCCTTGTAACTCCAATCCATTCAGGCCCAGGCTGTTTCAATTTATGCAAATTGTATGCCATTTTCTTAGCAGGATTTAAAATCCATGGATTTTTGGAGGCAAATTATATTTTTTCTGAAAAGCTAATTTTGTCCTCTTTCAAATGACATATAGCACTAATCACTAGTGTAAATACTGTTGACGAAAAAAAGAAAAGAAAAAAGGTTGCCATCTTCTATAGATAGAAGCGCAGCCCACATTATCCATGCTTTACTTTTTCATTATTCATCATGAAAATCCTTGTTTACGACAGTTCATTTCTTCAATTTCAAAAAAGCGTGGATGGCTTCTATCATTTACCACGCGCAACCAATCGTAGCTATTATATAAATGTGTACCCATAGAGACGTTGAGTCTCATCGTTCATTGCTTACTTTTTTTAGACTAAAAGTTTTGCAGTCGAGTGTGTAGAGAATAGCACGATATGTAGCAGTTAGGGAGAAAACTCAATTTTAAGAAAGAGCTTGTCATCTTTTACATAAGCATGACTAAATGCTTCTTCTATGGAAGCAAAATTTACAAAACCGCATCCCGTACGACTTATCTCTTCTGTTGGCTTCTGAAAGGCTATCATGTTAGGCTGAGCTTGAAGGATTTGGCTTAAATGGCGTTCGGCACCACTCTGATCTATAATGGACAGCGTGATCCTCTGAGTAAAAGGCCACCTTACTTCAAAGTTGTCATACTTCCCCATCATCATGTGCACAAAGATGGCGACAAACCTGCCTCTTCCATCACCTACGCCATTGAGGTATATCCTCAAGCCAAGCTTGTATCCATAGCGATCAGTTTTGATAGGACAGGTGAAGACAGCAGTTATGCTTCCATTGGCATCAACATAGCGATGCTGGCTAACCTCAGTAATCTCTGCTATGAAAAATGCATCTCGTGCATTCATTCCCTTTGTGGCTTTTTTTGGCTTGGTCCTACATAAAAGTATTTTATCAATTAAGTTCTGAAATGAACTCTTTCCGCAAAGCATGGAGCTGAAGAAGGAAAAAAGTTTCGGTTTCCTATGGTCAAGCTAATAAGCAAAACCCCTCAGCAAATTCTCACTGATTAGAAACAGTCAATCCTTTCTCTGATACACTTGATAATTTCGTGAAAGAAACATTTTTCTAAGCCTAATGATACTTGCCTGGTAGTTTCCTTTTTCCACAATCGCATTTCTTGCATAGTACAGCTTTGCTGAATTGCTTGGTCATTCTCGCCGAGGGAACTCACACCATTTACTTGGACATCGTTGGTTTGCTGCTGACATCGAGATTGATCATATCCTCTCAGTAGCCGCAGGCCTAACGTCTCTTGCACCAGGTGACTACCTCGAACATCCTGATCACTCTCTTGTACTGGATAACCCATTGAGCTTTCTGCTGATGGTGGTGCTTCTTGTACTGCTGGTTCTGGGGTAGGTGAACTCAATCCATTGTGAAGTGCACAATCTCCCTGCTGGTAGGTTGGCGGCTCTGATGTCTCCACTCGTTGATCCGAAAGCAGATTTTCTACCTGGATAGGGTGAAACACATCCAGGGCCTCGTCTCCTGCGCATGGTTCAAGGAGCTGTAGCTGGTCTCTAACTGCTGTCGAGTTAGGAGGCAAATTCACCTCTTCGGCGAAGGATGATGCTTCATCACAAGCTCCATCATCAGCAAATAACAACGCTTGAGCCTACAAAGATAGAGAATTGATTATGCTCAAGAATAGTAATCGTTCACGCGTTTCTTGCAATCACCTGGACGATCGAGTAGTTTTCATTAGAATTATTACAAATCACGGTCTGTCAAATGTTGTCAGTCTGGTTTGTAAAAACGTATAGTTTCATTAGAAAAAAAACATCTATCGTTTCCCCTCTTTTTCAGCAATTGCTAAATTAAAGGCAGATAAAAAAATTTAAAATAAAAAAAACAAAAAAGGCAGATAAAAATTTTTTTCTATGAACAAAGACATTGGAGATTCACTTTGTAACCCTAAGTGTTGTTTTCCAAATTTCAATCTTCGATTTCAATGAATTCGGAATTCTCCAATTATCATAACGAAGTTGTGTGTTACGAATTTCATTTTTTATTCAAAGTATTAACATCACGCTTGGAAGCCATCATTATAAGTGCTAAAGGTGCTCACCTCAGAAACTGGTAATTCATTATCACACGCGGCGGAAAATCTTGCACCGTTCCTTCTTGAAAACATAAGCAAAATGATATGAATTGATTTTAAATTTGTATTGCATTGAAATTTCTTGCCCTGTATCTTAAATTACGAGTTTGTTTCAATAATTTTGATAAGTCGTATTTGGTCCGTGCTCGACAGACGGCTGTCAGAGAACATAATAAGACCCTAAGAATGAGTGCAAAATATGTGTTTTTGCCTCGTAAACATTGCAAAAAGAGCATGCGCAGTGATGAGAATACACAGGTTCAAAGGGTCAAGTGCGCTTATATAAAACCTACCTTATGAATAGGCCCTCATTTTAAACGCTTCTATATATACAAGTGTTTTTTCGCCCGCGAGAAAGTTTTAGGCCCTGAGCGACACCAGCCGGCGAGGGGTCTTCAAGTAGAAGTGATTGGTGCTGGATCCCTTGCGCACCCCTTGCCGTTTCCTAACTAAACCTTACCCTCGGGCAAAGAAACGCCATTCCGCAGCGCTAATAACGAAGGCCTGCTCCTTAGGTTGTCAGTATACGAACAAAACAAAAATTCTAAATAATATTCCTTACAACTTAAACTGAAAAAAATGACAGTTCACGTGGGATAAGAACTGAACTGAAATTCATACATTAAAAGAGAAAAACGGGTCATGTTATAGTTGCAAAATAAAGATATATATTAAAGGACATTGTAATTTACCTAAGGGCCGGATTTGAATGGATTCCAAGCGCAAAATGAACCTTAAATCTCTAATTCACGTGGATCACCTTTACTCAATTTCAGTCAATGAGATCAGAGTTCTCGGTTCCTTTGATGCTTCTCTGTGAATTATTCATTCTACCAAGGCCAATAAATGATGAGTGATAGATTGCGATAAAATGCAAGTACACAACAATTTTTAATCCTAACATCACAATGTTAGGATTAAAAATGTTGTATCAAAATGTTCCATCTCCTCGGCAGAAAAATAATTACAAATTTTCGAATTCATGTGTAACGTTTACCGTTCGTGTCTTATTGGGCGAACAATGTATTTTCACAGTTGTTCGATCAGTATGAATGATATAATGTTATACAATGTTATAATTGGTTAAATTGGCTACTCAAACCTTCAAACCTCCACAAGCCTCCACTTGTTTTTGTGACCACGTTCATGACCTCAGTGACAAAATCTATTTAAAGGCAGCATTTATGTTTCCGCTGTACTGAGTAAATCATTTATGTTATGATGACGTTGGCTGTGTTTGCAAGTCACGCAACCTACACAGGCTCGGTGGTGTTTCTGTGATCGAACGCGGAAGCGATAGATCATTCGATATTCAGTCTAGAGGCGTCTTGTGATGTTGATGTTAATAACTCAGTTCTCTATCTCTCTTCGCGACATCATGGTCTACAATACGGAAAAGCTAAGCGTCCGTGATCAAACCAAACTCAGTCAGGGCTTGAGAATCTTTGTATCAAGGTAAATGCCGGCTCGTGATGTTGAAGTCGACCTAGGCCTGTTCTAGAACATTCTGGATGGAGACGTGTTATTAGTTTCTCTTGACGGAAAGTTATTCCCTAGATGTTACAGTACTGTAAGGAAACAGCATCAACGTACGTCCACTAAAGCAAATGCCAACAAGAGAGTTTAGTTTCGTTAAGCTAAATTGGACGAGCGTTATTCGCTTTCACCTCTCGTGTGAGACTCATTCTTCTATCTACAGTGGATCGATTCATTTGGAAGGTCTGGTGAATAGATACTAGGTATGTGCATCCATCTTACATATGAATTGCGAATTTTAAAATTCGAGTGTCGGCTTGGCTAGATCTCAGGACTGAGCGATCATTCACTGTATCTGATTATTTTGAGGTGAATAATTTGTGTTGGGGATCGACGATCTCGTCAACGCAATTATGAGAACGCAACGAAGCAAAGTCGATCTAGATGTGTTCTATCGTTAATGATAATTTGACAAAAGCGTAAACGCTGAGGTAGAATAGCTCCTTCGCTAAACATTTCTAAGGAGCTCATGAAAAGAATTGATAAGCATTGCAAGGTACTAGCTTTAAGTTTCCGGCTGCAATTACAGGAAGGGTTGACGCTATAAATAGAAGTTTAATTTAGTATACGATCATTGTAACTTTCGCTTTCTATCGAGACATATGTTCTGTCAGTAAAGATACCTGGTGATGGAGGATTGACAAGGTTTGTGTTGGATTTTGACCTCTTAAAAGATCGTAATATTTGTTCAAATTTATGATGGTGCTGTGGTTAGTACAGGAAAAAGAGCTTACGTTTCTTAGAACCTTCATAATTCACTCCTATCTAGCTATAATATACTCTCGCTAAGTCCTCTAGCCAATCAAACTTATTTTACTGGACAAATGTAGCAAAATCTATGCGATCAAGTTAACAACGTTCTCGGCTAAAAGAAGAAAGTTGATTTGAATAAGACACGACCTCACATTTTCTCTCGAAGAACCAAATTTTCACTTCGTTTTCATGACAGAGCCCGTTTTCATATTATTAATAGTTAAGGATCAGAAATTTCGATTCAAATTTTTGAATTCATGAGTAACACTTTATTGGAAAATATTTCATAAATCATGTTGGACGTTGAGAAATATGAACGCAATGATTTAACTAAGCAAGCTTAAGTATGTATAGTCGTTTATTTCGATATTATAGACCTGCTGAATGCATTCAGTTCTATTAGAAGTCTAACCACATCCTATGTGAACAAATTGTTTCGAGTAACAGTTGTTTTGAAATGTGTGCAACCTAGCGTACTGTATGAGAATAACGCTCATCCTAGCTCATGCAGATCGAATCAGATTGACAGCTGTACATAAGATCGGTTCTAATTGGCTTACACAAGAGGTGTGTTAAGAGGTGAGTCGAAATATAAATAAATTTAAGTTCTGAGTTTGGCTAGACAAACTTCCTTGTGCAATGAAATGTAGCGAGCACATGTCCGTAGTTTTCGAAACTTCGGCTACACCTAAATTAACGCAGAGTTAAATTGATTTAATAAAGGACCAGTTGTCACAATTATCAGTGACCTATGTTCACCGGTTTTAAATTTTTCTTCATCAAGTTTAGTTATAACTTTCCGCCTGTGCTCCAAATTTGTTATTGTCGAATAACTAATTATGGGGGGTAACACAGAGTTTGAAAACGTTGTTTTTCTGCATTAGACGGCTAAGAAATATAGAAAGGCTTTAAAACGCATGTTTTTCGCTATTGTTTTGCTCATTATAGTTTTCTGAAAGTCCCCTAGTATTTATGAAAACGCGCAGCATTTTTATCTGCATTACGCTTCGATTTAAGTTGAACGAAGCGTAACAAAATATTGGAAAGTTCACATTTCATGCCGGCTGTACATTGGTTTTCTTAAATTTAGGCATGCAACAAGGTCTAAAACTGATTAAAAAAAAAGAAAACGTTCATCATCAAGGAAACATGGTTAGGCAAATTCAGGTAAGAAATCGATATTATCAGCAAAACTTAGTCCTACTGAAATCAGCAATTACACCACTGTGGGTAAAAATGCTTACCTGGTATCGTTGCAACTCTCTAACTCTGGATTATCGGTCGAACTCATTGCCTCGAATAAGTTAATCAATCAGTCCTTACACTGCTAGATTCTTGATCGTGTGGTTATGATTTTCTTGATCGTGCACTTATGATTCAGAAAAGCAGGACTTTGACCCGATCACATGTCCAGCTTTGTTTAAGGAAAACGGATCCATTGAGTTGACAAGTGAAAGAACTCAATTAGCAAGTGAAAGCACGGCTTGCGCTTTCGGAGTGCTACCTGAATTTGGGACCCTTTCGAACAATTTTTTTCTTTGGAAATAGCTATGCAATCATAGAGTGAATGGCAATTATCACAATTATGGAATGAACGGCTTAGCTAAGAACGGCATAGCTAAGCCGAAATGTGTCAGGCATTTGAAGATAGCTTGGTTATACTGCGTCACGTGGCTATCAAGTAACTGTTGTTCTGTCCGTGATCTACAGATTTATTGGTTTGTGAGCAAAGAGCGATTATCTGTTCTGTCACGACAATACCAAAATTAAATAATGCCAGATAACTAATATTTCACACTGATCAGACCTTTGACTCTAAGTCAGCATGGAGGCCAGTGAACGAGATCGTCTGATGACTTTGAAATTACTTCACCCGGCAACACGTTTATAAACTATGGCCTATATTTCTTCATATCAAGTTGCTTCTGTAAGCATATTTGGTTATGTTAGAAATCTCTTAGCGTAAAGCGCTGGTCGCTGTAATACTCAGGCACTAGCTACCATACTTTTTACCTCATATCTGTGCACTTATGATGGGAAAACCAATCATAGTTTGCCGAAAAGTTCGGGGGATTTCTTTAGTTTGTAATCAACGTTAATTTTATGAGGAAAATTGCTTCTAAAAATAATGAAGGTGTTCATTTCATTCAAATGAGGTGTACATTTCGGTATCACACTGAAAGTTCTGGGAGGTGAAATTAGTTGTCTATAAAATCATAGTGTTTTCAACGTTCACTGTGATGAGTAACGTCTCTTTTCAAAACACAGTTAACGATTCTACGAATTGGCTTCGCTGTTTTTGTCATTTTTAGATATTTGGATACAAATTTTGGAATTCATGTGTAAAGCTTTTATACCAAGCTTATTCTTACAAGTACATACCTCATAAAGGAACAAATTATAAAAATTTTGTCGCTGAAAGTTGTCACAAGTGTTCACCCGACGGGCTTTGGATGTGTAACTACTACAACACTTCGGCACATTAATTTTCATAAATGCGATGTTAACATGAGTTTACGTTACGTTGGCACTTATTTAATATCACTGCAGTACGCTAAACCCTGGACTCCTTGTGGCTACTTCTCAAAACCTGCACCTATTTTTGTGACCACGTTCGTGACCTCAGTGGCAAAATCTCCCTAAGGCAGCATTTACGTTTCCGCTGTACTAGGTAAATCATTTATGTAATGATGACGTTGACTTGTGTGTTTGCAAGTCACGCAATCTGCGCAGGTCCAGTGGTGTTTCTGTGATCGGACGCTGAAGCGATGGATCATTCGATATTCAGTCAAGAAGCGCCTTGTTTCCTAAAACTCTTCTCGACATTATGGTCTACAATATGGAAAAAACTAAGCGTACGTCATGAAATCAAGCTCAGTCAGGGCTTGAGAATCTCTGTACCAAGGTAAATACTCGCTCGTTATATTGAATGTTCAACAACATTCTGGATGGAGACGTGTGAATAGTTTCACTTGACGAAATTATTCCTTAGATGTTACTCTGTTTGGAAAGAGCATCAACTTCCACTAACGAGGGAATTTAGTTTCATTAAGCTAGATTGGACAGGCGTTCTTCGCTTTCGCCTCTTGTGTGGGACACGTTCTTCTATCTACAGAGAATCAATTTTCTTTGGAATGTCTGGTGAACACATTTTAGGTATGTGTTTCGATCTTACCTATAAATAAAAAGCCCTGTACCTTCTGGTCACTTTTTGAATCGCTAATTTTAACTTTTGAGGGTCAGCTTGGCTAGATCTCAAGATTGAGAGATCGTTTACGTTATCAGATTCTTTTAAGGTGAATAATTTGTCATAGAAATGGTCGAATTCGTCAACGCAATTATGAAAAAGCAACAAAGCAAAGTAGGTTTAGATTTGTTCCATCGTAAATTAAAAATTGACAAAAGCGTAAACGCTGAGGTGAAATAACTCCCTCACTTAACATTTCTGAGGAGCTCATGAAAATAATTGATAGGTACTACAGCCTACTGGCCTGGTTTCCGGCTGTAACTACAGGAAGGGTTGATGCTATAATCAGAAGTTTAAATCTCTTAAAAAGATCGTAATATTTGTTACAATTTATGATTGATGCTATGGTTAATGTAGAAACAGGCTTACGTCTCTTAGAACTTTCAAAATTCACCCCTAGCTATCTATAATATACTTCTGCTGAGTGCTCTTGACAATCGAACTTATTTCACTGGATAAGTGTAGCAAAATCTATGCGTTCAAGATAACAACGTTCTCGGCTATGAAAACCAAGTTGATCTGAAAGGACACGACCACAAATTTTCTCTCGAAGAACAAATTTTTTATTTCATTTTTATGACAGACCCGGCTTTCATGTATTATAGTTAAGTATTAGAGTCTTTCTTTTTCCGCGTGGTCGACTCATGACTTTGGAAATACTCGGTTGGCACATTTGGTTATGCGAAATATCTTTGCATAAAGCGCCGGTTGCTGTAATAATCAGGCACTAGGCACTACACTTTTTACCTCTGATGTGCACTAGGAATAGGATAACCGATTGTAATTTTTGAAAAAGTCTGGGGCATACCTTTAATTTGTCTTGGACGTTGATTTTATTGAGGAAGTTTCAGTTCAAAATAATAAAGCTATTCTTGCCAATCAAATGCGACGTACAATGTTGTGTCACACTTAAAGATTATTATAGTTAATGAGAACGAGTAAATTTTTTAAAGACACATAATTGCACGAGCTCGTAGTGCGATTTCAATTTTTAGTCGTTGAGGAATTTACAAGTACCTAGGCTAAGGTCTCAGAGAATAAAACTCATCGATCCTAGCTCATGCAGATCGAATCAGATTGACAACTGTGCACAAGATTGGTTCTAATTGGCTTACACAAGAGGTGTGTTCGCTGGTGGGAGGATCCTGTTTCAAGATGTGAATAAATTTAAGTGCTGCTTGGCTGAGCCAAAACCTTTGTTGTGCAATAGATTATTGCGAGAACATGTCCGTAGTTTTCAAAACTTCAGCTATACCTGAAATAACGCGAAGTTAAATTTGTTTAACAAAAGACCAGTTGTCACAATTATCAGAGATAGAAACGGTTGCCTATCCGTTTTGAATCTAGGTTCTCCGGTGTTGAGTTTTTCTTCATTCATTCTTCACAGCGGTTAGCCTGTGTTCCATGATTGGATATTGTCGAATAAGAAACTAATGGGTAACACAGAGTTTTAAACTCTTTGATGGCCTATTCTGGAAAAATTATAAATTACTTTTCTTAAAAATTTTCGACAATAGCTCGATGCTTTAACCGTTTCTGAATGTACGATATCTTCACTTCGCCAAAATATGTAAATGTAGAATTGAGTTCAAACTAAAAGAGTGACTAAATTGCTGTCGAGGTTTCCTCGTCAAGAGGACGTAAATTTGGTGATTTCAAGTTGTTGTTCTTTATAAGCCGGCTAGGAAATGTAGAAAGTTTTAAAACGCACGATTTCTGCTATTTTCTTGCTCATTAATTGTGCTTTTCTGAAAGTCCCTTGTATTTTATGAAAACGCACATTGCACCATGACTTCAATTGTACGAAGTGAGCATTTCATGTCATTTCATTTCATATGTCGGTTTACGTACATTTAGCCAGGCAACAGGGGCACGACTGATTTTAAAAAAACTGGGTAAAATTACCATCTAAAGAGAAAGTCTCCAGTCTCAACATTTATATCGCCGACGATATAGGCTTGTTTGCAGTTTCAAAACTTACGGAATGCGACAAATTCAGGTATCAAATCGATCATATCAGCAAAACTTACTTCTGTCTGAAATCAGCAACTACACTGTGAGTAAAACATGCTCACCTGGTAGCATTGCAGCTCTCTAACACCGGACTATCGCGATCGGTCGAATTCATTGCCTCGAGGAAGTTAATCAATCAGTCCCCACACTCCCAGTTTCTTGATCGTGCACTTAAGCCGGATGCAAAGAAGCTGAACTGGGATGCTCACAACAAATGGGTTTGCTCCACTCATTTGTTTAGAGGAACCTTAGACTTCGACCCAAGTAACCGCCAATGACAATGACTGTTGGAAATAAATTTCGTTTACGCTCGAGCAGTTGTAGACATCTTTGTTCCATCAGTAATGCAAAATGAAAGTACTTAATGTGCCTCAGGAATAACCCCGGTGACATATTTTCTTGAACATTTCACTTTCACATTTTAACATTCATACTATTCTCAGACAAAGCATGACCGTAAAACAGATGGATTCGAATTATCAAATGTGCTATAAGTGACAACTTCAGCTATGTTTACCCGTAATGTTGCGTCAGTGATCAGACATAATATGTTATGATTAAATTATTGTTTTGTAACGCGTATTAACCTAACGAGAATCCTAAGGACGAATTATAGAGCGCTTAATACGTCTTTGCTACCCTTTAGAGAATCATTATTCATCCTTTCCTTCACAATTTTTTCGACTAAACAAAACGATTTACTCTCAGCTGCAATGAGATATCGGCTCGCGTTTAAATCGTTATTCAAAATTACCTTTTGCACTGGCCGACCTTGGCCACTTAAGCGGACCTATCAATTTCACGTAAACAGAATGCAAATCAGCACCCATTCCTATAAAATGGCCTTTTGTGTGAGCGGAGCTGAGCTGACCAATCAACTTAAGGGAAATCGAAATCGGGGAAAACCCTTCGTAGGTGAAGAAAAGTCTCGCTAATGCGAGACAGCAAAGGCTAATCACAAAGGCTGGCGGACTAAGAATTTTATTTGCATTAGCCATTGTCTCGCGATGGTGGCGGGCTCTGTTAAAAAACACGCTTTCTTTTCAAATAATCCCTGCTACAGATCGCTAACACCGAATATCAATAATAAGGAAAAATTTAAATTAGCTTGAAAGTGAAACCTTGTCATACAATTTAGTTCGTTGTTCAGAATCTTCAAATCTCTCTTTGAGAACATTGATTTATTTTTGTGTTTTTAGGCAATTTGGCACAGGATTCCCTAGAATCGGCAGAGATGATAACGAAACTATAGATAAAACTACAAATACTTCTCTATCTGCCTTCTTTCTCACCAAAACGGAGAATCGACAACGCAACAGAAGCGGTGCACAACACTTTTTACCTGTGCTCTTTGAATAGTATAACCAATTATAATTCGCTAAAAAGTTTGGGCATGCCTTTAGTTTGTCTTTAACGTTGATTTTAGGCAGAAAATTTCAGTTAAAAAATTCACAACTTTTTCGACGAAACAAAACGATTTACTCTCAGCTGCAATGAGATATCGGCTCGCGTTTAAATCGTTATTCAAAATTACCTTTTGCACTGGCCGACCTTGGCCACTTAAGCGGACCTATCAATTTCACGTGAGCAGAATGCAAATCAGCACCCATTCATATAAAATGGCTTTTTGTATGAGCGGAACTGAGCTGACCAATCAACTTAAAGGAAATCGAAATGGGGGAAAACCCTTTGTAGGTGAAGTAATGTCTCGCTGTCGCCATGTCATGACAATCACAAAGGCTGGCGGACTAAGAATTTTATTTTCACTAGCCATTGTCTCGCGATGGTGGTGGGCTCAGTTAAAAAACACGCTTTCTTTTCAAATAATCCCTGCTACAGATCGCTACAGGACGCTAACACCGAATATCAATAATAAGGAAAAATTTAAATCAGCTTGAAAGTGAAACCTTGCCAAACAATTTAGTTCGTTGTTCAGAATCTTCAAATCTCTCTTTGAGAACATTGATTGATTTTGGTGTTTTTAGGCAATTTGGCACAGGATTCCCTAGAATCGGCAGAGATGATAACGAAACTATAGATAAAACTACAAATACTTCTCTATCTGCCTTCTTTCTCACCAAAACGGAGAATCGACAACGAAACAGAAGCGGTGCACAACACTTTTTACCTGTGCTCTTTGAATAGTTTAACCAATTATAATTCGCTAAAAAGTTTGGGCATGCCTTTAGTTTGTCTTTAACTTTGATTTTAGGAAGAGAATTTCAGTTAAAAATAATAAAGCTATTCTTTCCATTCAAATGTGGCGTACAATGTCGTGTCACATTTACAGACTAATAAAGGTAATAATATGATTTCGAGTGCAATTTGTTGTCAATTAATAGAAATCATGTTATTAATTGATAATAATGTAAATTAAAAAACATCATAGAAGTCAAGACAGACGAAATTTTCAAAGCGTAGTACGCTCGCTATTTGTAATTTGCACTCGTGTTACAACTTTGCACTCGTGTTACATGAGAATGCACTTGTCTTCTGCCAATCAGAAGCGCGTAATTTTTTTTTTTTATGCACTTCACTTCAGTCGTCTATACAATCGTTGTAATTGCAAAGACCACTGAAATGAGTAAAAACATCTCCTTTCAAAACACAGCACGTCCTGTGAAACAATTCTTAGAGCTGGCTGCGCTGTTTCTTGAACCTCTTCGGAGATTTCGATACAAATTTTCGAATTCATGTGTAACGCTTTACTGGAAAATATTTCATAAATCATGTTGGACGTTAAGTGATATTAATACAAATAAACCAAGCAAGGTTAAGGATGTTTAGTCGTTTCTTTCGACATTATAGACCTGCTAAAATGTATTCAATTCCATTATAAGTCTAACCACATCCTATATGAACAAATTGTTTCGAGTAATATAGTTCTTATCAGAGTTGTTTGTGGCGTACGGTCTCAGAGAATGCATCTTAGCTCATGCAGATCGAATCAGATTGACAGCTGTGCACAAGATCGGGGTTAATTGGTTTACACAAGAGGTGTGTTCGGAGGTGACCAAGCAAACTTTCTTGTGGAATGGATTATAGCGAGAACATGTCCGATGTTTTTGAGACCTCAGCTATACCTGAATTAACCCTAAGTTACATTTTGTCAATAAAAGACCAGTTGTCACAACTATCAGTGATCCAAAAGGTTGCCTATGCGTTTTGAATCAAGGTTCACCGGTGTTAAATTTTTCTTCATCAAGTTTACAACGTTCAGCCTGTGCTCCATAAGTGGATATTCTCGAATAACAAAGTAATAGGTAACACAGGCTTTAAGGCTTGTCGCTTGCTTTACGCTTAATTCGTAATCTAAAATTCCTCTTGTCGACCTATTCAACTTCGTTTGTAAATATTGGAGATTCACGCCAATAATTCTTTACCTATCATTTCGCACACAGTCTCTTGTTAATTAACTCCTTCCTATCTCTTACGAGACCTCAGTGTGGTATGGTAAAGTTAAGTTGATACTAAAACTGAAGCAAGTCGGTATTTTCATGAACATTTGAAGTTTGATTTAAGACATTCCAATAGACAAAGATTGACTCATAAACTATTAGTTTTCACATGATCGAGTCAGACTTGAAATCTTTCAGCGAGGTATTTTACTTTAGTTCGTTTAATTTTGACTTTCACCGGAGGAGTGTACGGAAGTAATGTAAACTGCTAAATCTGTTTGCATCATCCTTTCAACATAATTGTGACCACTCGCACGACCTAGCTTTACGAGACTTAACAGTACATGATACAAAATATGATCTTTAATGTAATTATTTTAGCTTGAAGAATCTAAGAATTAACTCTCAGAAGCTTTCGCTATTGGAAAAGGTCAGGTTAGGCCAAAGATAGATACAGCATAAATGTTTCTTTGCTGCCACTTAAAGATCTTTAAATTGACAAGTTGCACTAAGTTCTTCGCTTAAAGTATAAAAGCAAAATAGAGGTAGGAAAAATTGATATAGAAATGTTTACACTATTAATACCTTGATCATTTCCTTTAGACTGATGCTTTAAAACCGAAACTTCTGGTATATTTAGATTTTCGAATATAGGATTTTCACAGACTTCACCGATAATTTAAACTCGTAAACAAATTACCATGAACAAGAAATCAGTTACCGGTATTAATTGATGTTGATGATCATACAGTTTGGAAAAATAATATCATACTGCACTGACCAAACAACAATGAAACAAACAGTAGATATAAGCTTCTGGAAACCGGAATAGAGGAATAATTCGTATTTCAAGACCGACGACGAATTAAACAATATCTCTATCTCTAAGTACCATACGAAAAGGCACGAGTGATTTTAAAAAAAAAGGGAGACGTTCATTATCAAGAGTACAACACAAAATTTTTATCTCCGACTCTATAGGCTTGATTACAGTTTCAAAATTTATGACATGCGGCAAATTCAGGTATCAAATCGATATTATCAGCAAAACTGAAATCAGCAATTACTCTGTGAGTAAAACGCGCTCATCTGGCAGCATTGCAGTTCTCTAACACTGGACTATTGCTCGAATTCATTGCCTCTAACAAGTTAATTAGTCCTTACAATTTTAGTGTCTTCATCGTGCACTTTCGATTCAGAGAAGCTGAACTGGGATGTTGGACTCTATATTGAGAAGGAACGCTAATTGTATATGTGGGAAAAAAACGAACTTAACGTCATTTTAGCTGTTGTTGCTATTGATTGGTTAGTTGTTTGTTTCCGCCACCGATGCCATCCGGGAACTTGCCTTTGGTCGGTTTGGACATGACGTCACAACCAGAAAATGCTCGTAACAAAAGATACTACATAAGAAGTTGGTGGAAAAATCACAAGAAAAAAATTCGCATAATTTCCACGACACACGAAAAACATCTTTTTTAACTTGTGAAACACTGTGAGCTGGTAAAGGTTCAGTTAAGGTCTTTCACATACAGACTAGATAACAAATGCTCATAACATGATTTATAACACTTTAAATGCTATATATTCCAATTTTCAAGTGAATTTAATGGATGATCACTTGCTCTTCATAGCAAATTCAGAGCGGGAGCGAAAGAGTATTTCTGATGGCCAGGTTTTGGTCCCCTCAGGCAAATCGCTGTTTCCCCGAAGACTAGAGGCCAAGGCTATCAATGAAGCGCAAAGGTTCTTGACGAATTTGACCTCCACACGTGAGTATCTCGAGAATAATCCTTTAACCTCACTTATCAGTTCGGTCCATATCAAAGTGGATCAAAGCAGACTTTTTAAAAGACCGTTATCGGGTCTTTTTCAGCCTCAATTCATTTAAACGTAAAACACGAATGCATGCTATTTCAGGATCGCCAGTAAATAGCAACCAGTGCTGTAATCTATGTAAAACATTATACTAGTTCATGTTGCAAACAGTTGGTTTATTTTGATGGTAAATAGTTGTATTATAACTTAATTATTGCTGGATTGTAATATCTTGATCGAAGAATTAGACTTAAGATTTTAGGTTTTACCGTGTTATTGTAATGTCCTCGATGAGCATAAAATAAAATAGTCGAACGCATTGACACTTAAATAATGTTGTTATCTTGGTATGTTATGTTTTTTTTCCAAGGATTTTACGCTTAGTTTGCGTTGAGTTAGCTGGAGAATGGGTTTATTTCACAAGATTAGCCTTCTTTCATGACTTTATGAATTTCGTTTACACTCAAGCAGTTAATTAGACATCCTTAATGATGCAAACCGAAAGAACTCAATGTGCCTTGGGAGTTGGGAATAACCCCGGTAACAAATTTTCTTGAATTAGTTTTTGTCACGCGTATTAACCTCACAAGAATACTGAGGACGACTTATAGAGCACTGAATACGTCTTTGCTACCCTTTAGAGAATCATAATTCATCCTTTCCTTCACAACTTTTTCGACTGAACAAAACGGTTCACTCTCAGCTGCAACGAGATATCGGCTCGCGTTTAAATGTTTATTCAAAATTACCTTTTGCACCTGCCGAGCTTGGCCACTGAGCAGAACTATCAATTTAATTTAAACAGAATGCAAATCAGTGCCCATCCATAGAAAATGGCCTTCTGCGTGGGCGGAATTGAGTTGACCAGTCAACTTAAAAATAACTCGAAATCGGGGAAAACCCTTCGTAGATGAAGTAATGTCTCGCTGTTGCCATGTCATGATAATCACAAGGGTAAGCTGGCGTTCTACGAATTTCATTTTCACTAGCCACTCTCTCGTGATGGTGGGCTCAGATAAAAACCATGGTTTCTTTTCAAATAATCCCTGTTTCATATCCCACAAGGACACTAACACCGAATATTAAAATAAGGATAAATAAAAATCAGTTTTAAATTGAAGCCCTCTTTGAGAACATTGATTGATTTTAGTATTTTATAGGCAATTTTGCTCAATATTCCCTAGAATAGGCACAGATGACAATGAGACCATAGATAACCAGCAAATACCTCTCTCTCTGCCTTTTTCTTCACCAAAACGGAGAATCGACAACGAAACAGATGCGGTGATTTGAATTGAACAGTATTCTCAACTTTTCCTTGAGCGACCAGTAATAGAAAAGCGCAATTCCAGCCATTAAAGAATTTTTTAATTTGAAAATTTGATGCTGGATTCTGCTCGCGTTACATTCTGATAATCGCTTAGTGCATGAGATTTCGAGTCAAAACTCTTCGTCTTTAGAATATTCATTTTGCCCTGCATGCATGCATATATATATATATATATATATACACACACTGGCTTAGAAGACTCAGCCTCCAGCAAATTTTTTTTTAAAAGATAAATGGAATTAATTTTAGTGGCCGCATTCGCTTCATAAAGGCGTCTGCCAAATGCTGGCTCGTTTTATAAAAAATATACAAAGGAAATCCAAGAACATAAATAGAAAAGAATTAATTCCTACAGAATGGGTGCCTAATGTTGTTGGAAAAAGGTCTCGCTGCAAATTTGTTTTCAATCTGTTTTCCAAAACAACTAAATGCTTATGAAATTGTACTCTGGGTTTGTAAGGCGTCCTTATAAATAGCTAACTTTTCTATGCAGTTCTCTGGTAAAATATACCTCTAGGGTAACTGATACTGGTATTACTTTTGTAAAACTGAGTAATGGTTGTTGCAAGATAAATAATCCGGCTGAACGAGTACCTTATGGTCAGACTGGTATCGGTGAGAATTCTGTCCGCAGTTTGAATAAATAAAGGAGGTTCATCTTTTTTGCCGAAGGTATTGACGATTGACGTGGACTCTTTCTCTCTAAGCTTCATTGTTTTCCGAAAAGAGTATTGTTAATTCTCCATTTTGAGCTCGGAAAAGTCTGCCTAAATCGCAATGGAATGAAAAAAACAACGATCTTAAGAAGGGTGAACCTCGCATTTAGAGTGGACGAATAGTCTTTGCAGATCGTGTTACAACTTTGCACTCGTGCTGCGACTTTGCACACGTGTTACTTGAAAAATTCTCTCCCTTCCGGCCAATCAGAGGTGCTTAATATTTTTATTAACAATTGGTTCATACGTCAGCGTGCATTCATCGACATATGAAGCACGAAGGAAGTTTGGAGAGCACAAAAGATACGTAAGAGTTGCTCGAGGCGTAGCCGAGAGCAACTTTAGCTTCTTGATTGCTCTCTAAACTTCCCAAGCGCTTCATATCTCGATGAACGCACAGATGACGTACGAACCAATCGTTTTATAACATTTTCAACCCGATGGAAAATTTTTTTCTCGAGGGATATGTTTATAAACTGAGAAATAGGACTTCATGACCAGACGTCGAGTTTATGCCGTATATATATTGCAAAGAAACAGCACGCAAATATTTCATGCAATGTACTTTGTCGCTAAACACTGACAAGAGCATATTGGCAGTTGTCATGATTCAACCAATCATGAATCGGGGCTTGGCTATCGTTCTATGTAAACCTGTCTTCGTTGTTCAGCCAGACAACAAGACAACACTGGAAGCCGCAGAGTGAACAACTCGGAGTCAGACCTCTCGGAAAACCAGAACACACCGAAACAATGGGGATCGCAATCCGCCAATCGCATTAGATCGCCGTGATGCAAATGGTAACGCGTAAGCAGTCGAAACGTCGCGATCTACATCTCAAGTGACTACAAACAATTAAACAGTTTATTATTAGGGAGTCATTATCACATTTCATTAAAATAATTTTGCCCCCAGTGCCGCAGGCAAAAGCTCAGGGCTAGTTTTTCATGCAGCAAATACATTTGAAAGACTCGACGAAAATCTTAGGCTTAAATCTTCTTGATTTGATTAGTTCTTCATCAAAGTTTTTCACATCTTTTTCGCTTTAAAACTTTTTTAGACGTAAAATTTAACACAACTTGACCATTTGAAGATCTTTTAGTGGCAACAAAGAAACATTAAGCTAACTTGACTTGTGCCGAGAATTCTCAGAGGATTTTTTCCTGTCTAATGGCTCGAGGAGCCCAGTAGAGAACAGTTCAATCTAACGTTACATAAAAACGATTTAGAATTCTGTTAGCCATAAGAAAGAGAATGAGCTGAGACTGTCAAAGTCTAGCAACATAATCTGCAGCTGATTTTATGAACTGAGTTGATAATGCTAATTGGCCACTGTGAAGAGTTTCTAATTAAAACTACTGTTTTTTTCATTTGGATGAAAACTCAATTTTCAAAAACAGTTCATCGTTTTTGACAAATTGAGGACCGAAGAACAGTTCTATCCTAGCGAAGTAAATGAGGCCATATCCAATAGGGCAAATGGCTTCTCGAGGCCTTTGAAAAGCAGCTAACGTTGGTTTAGCTTGCAAAGTGTGGCTGATGTCGTTGTCCCTTTGTCCATTTCTATCCAAAACCGACAAAGTGATTCTTCCAGCGTAGGGCCAAGATAAGAAGTCATCGTGCTCACCCTCCATCATGTGGACAAAGATGGCAACATACCTGCCTCTTCCGTTACCAACTCCATTGGGATACATCCTTACCCCAAACTTATATTCAAAGCTATCGGAGTCGATAGCGGGACCGAAAACAGCTGGTGCCACTTCGTTATCATCGGCCTGACAATATTGAAATTAGATAGAAATGTCACACGTCACTTTAAAAAGTGTTGTGTCTTCCTGCTCAAAATAAATTAAAATAAAGAAATACCGTTAGGACATTTTAGAAAGAAAAGGAAGGCCAACCTGGCGAAACCGCTCGACTTCCGTATATTTCATTATGAAATAAGCCTCTCGGGGATTTTGTTTGTTCCTTGCGGCTTTTTGTGAAGCAGACCTGTAAATAAACCATCACAGATTTTAGGGAAAACGAAACAGATTTCGTTTCCTTTTTAAACGTAACATAATAATTCCTAACTGAAATTATTTTCCCGTTTTCGGTAAATTATTTTAGGACAAAAATTTTGATACTTTAAATATGTGTAGAGCAACCTTGTTGTAATGCATTGGCTATACCAACCAGACTTTCCGGGGAACTTTGATGAAAACAACAAATTCCTGGTGGCGTGTTTGGTCAAATTCAACTAAGATATACATTCAAAGCCATTTTTAGCAAATAATTTGCATCAAAATAAGCTTTCAGCGCGATTTACAGAGGATTGTTGCCTACTGTTTGCTTATCCTTGTAGTCTGATTGGCTCTACGTGAAAGTTAAACAAATTTTTTTATTTGAAATGGGAGACTACAACAACAAAAAATGAAAACCTATTTGCCTGATGGGCGATTTCCATATGGATGTATATTAAGTAGAATTGTGTTTCGTGTGGAAATATTATTTTATATTTTTTTTCCTCCGAAATGATATTCAGGGTATCGAATGGCACGTAAATCACGCATGTGGTTTCAGTATAGTAAACAAATCCTTTCATCTAAATTACCATTAATGATAGTGATTGAACTGATGCAATACTAACCTATCAAGTTGTCCTTGCCATAATCGTATTTCTTGGCGTCCACAGCAATGCTCAATATACTGTTGGATCCTACCCAAAGAACTCACTATATTTACGGAGCCATCATCGCTAGGCTGGTGACCAGCAAGCGAGCCGTAATTTCCACGGGGCCGTCTTAAGGCTGGCTGCTCCATCTCCTGCAAGGGATGATTCCAGGCACAACCCAGATCAAGTGTTTGGCAAGTACCTGACTCTTGCGATCTATATAGTTCCGTCTCCTGAATGGGTACACTTAACACATTGACTTGGATACCACATTCCTGCAGGGGAAAAGGCTGATTTTCCGGTCTCTCCATCCTGTCAACCAGTTCAAACTGTTCCCCTGGAGGGAGGGCATTTCCATCTCCACCATTACAGATAGAATAGCCCGAAGCTTCTTCAGTACCCAGCTGAAATAAAACATAAACCATCCATAAAAAACTGATGTTGTGTGGTGTTTGCACCAAAAAGGTTGAAAATTCTGCCATAATTTTACTAAAAATAATCAAACTAACAAAACACGAGAAAGGAAAATAGGGTTACTAACTAAATATCATTTTATGAATTTCTTTGTTAAGTTTTCCTGAATATCTGATACTTTCAATTGTCAATACACACGGCAGAGTACTATGCAAAGGCTCGAATTGTGAGCCGAAAAAAAATCCTGTCCATCACGTCGAACAGCCACGCAAAGGTACCCCTTCTGCTGAAGACGTCTGCTGAATACACGGACGGTTCTCAAAGTAGAAAACGATAGAATGTTGTATATTGGCCACCGTAGAGAGTATCTGGATCTAAAGCTTACATCCCTTATTCAGACATTATTTGCAAGAACTTGTATGGTCAGAAGCTATCTAAAAGCCTCCACTTGGCAACAACTATTTGGGGGCAGAGGAATAGAATTTATAACAGAATAGAATTTATAACATTCTTAATTGCGTTTACACCTGCCTGGGCTCTTATTTAATCATTCGTCTGATGAGGCTTTAGAAACTCTTTGCGATGGCAAATTTACTTTATCAACTCTGTTGATAACACAGATTATCTTGCTATACTCCCCACCGACGCAGCACAACAGTTTCTTTAGAGTCTTACTTCTTATAGAGTATTGCATAAACTGCTTCTTATTTAAAAATCAACTTGTTTGCATGGTACGTGAAGCATTAGCATGCCATATGGCCACGCATAGAGATGAATTTTATGTTGGAGTGCTGATTGTATCTCAGCGGTAAAAGAATACGTAACATACCTCTTGGAGTTGTAACGGTTGTCCATTCCTAGTTTAAAGAAATTAAATAAAGATTATTATGAAAGGTTATCAGATCTTTACATCCATATCAAATACTGTGGTTACACCGCGAAGAGATGTGTCAGGATGAGACCTTATAGGTAGTGGCTTGCGACCGAGCGCAAAGAATAAAATGCTGCATCTCGCATTTTTTAAGGTTTGGCGGCTTTGCCGCATTTTTCTTGTACTTGGAAGCCCTAAAGATAACAGATTGAAGACATTATTTGCAAGATTTTGCATTGACCTCGTATAATTTTACAACAACTATTTGGGGGCAGCAAGATGGAAAAGATATCATTCTTAAATGCATTTACGTTCCCGCTGGGTGCTAAGTTTATCATCCATGTAATGATGACATCTGGCTTGTGTTTTGCAAGTCACGCAACTGCGCAGGCGCAATGGTGTTTCAGTGATTGGACGCGCAAGCGATAGATCATTTAATATTCAGTCTAGAAGCGTCATGTGACGTTGATGTTAATAACTTAGTTCTTAGAAATAACTAGGCGTCAGTGATCAAACCAAGCTCAGTTAGGGCTTGAAAATCTTTGTATCAAGGTAAATACTTGCTTCTGATATCGAAATCGACCTTGGCCTGTTCGACAACATTCTGGACGTAGAAGTGTAAATACTTTTTCTTGACGGCACATTAATCCCAAGATGTTACCCCGTAAGGAAACAGCATCAACATCCACTAAAGCAAGTGCTAACAAGCGAGTTTAGTTTCGTTAAGCTAAATTGGAAAAGCGTTCTTCGCTTTTCTTCTATCTACAGTGGATCAATTTTCTTCGGAAGGTCTGGTAGACACAATTAAGGTGTGTACATCCATCTTACATGTAAATATTCAGCACTGTACCTTCTGGTCCCTTTTTGAATTGCGAATTTTTACTTTCGAGCGTCGGCTGGGGTTGATATCAGGACTAAGAGATCAAAGACATCTACTTCGTCAGATTATTTTGCGGTGAATCATTTGCTATGGTGATGGTTAGACGAATTTGTTTGCGCGTTTATGAGAACGCAATGAAGCGGAATCATTGATTAGATAAAGTTATTTCATCATTTGCCGGTTCGAAAATTTGACAACGGCGTAAACGTTGAAGTAGAATAACACCTTCGCTAAACATTTCTAACGTGCTCATGAGAAGAAACGATAAACATTGTGGCCTACTGGCCTTTAAGTTTTCGGCTTTAATTACACTTGAAGGGTTGATGCTATTGATAGAAGCGTAGTGCGACCATTGCAACTTTCGCTTTCTATTAGAACATATATCTGCCGTCTATAAAGATACCAAATGATGGAGTCTTGAAAAGGTTTATGTTTGATCGTGACCACGTTTATAAAAGATGGTAATATTTGTTCGAGTTTATGATTGGTGCTATGATTTACACGAAACAACGAGCTTACTTCGAAATACTCTTGCTGTGTCCTCTTGGCAATCGAACTTATTTTACCGGTTTAGTGAAGTGATATCTTTGCGATCAAATTAACAACCTTCTCAGAACACGACCACGCATTTAATCTAGAAGAACCGATTTATCTCCCTCGTGTCGCTCCTTCTCCAAGTTTATCTTCCAAAATTCTGAGTGACTTCAATCCACGACGTTAACAGTCTTAACACGCTTCTGAACATTTCGAGATTCCCATCTTCGTGCCTTCAGTGTCACATGTCAATATCAACAGAGGCTCTTTTTAATTTCCGGGTAAATTGAGTCACAACTCTCCGTCTTTAAACCATTTATTTTGCTCTGCTCTGCAAATCTATGTATAGGGAAATTTTAGGATGAGGGCAAAAGTGTATGTTCAATAATTTATATAAATATATCTATAAATAATGAATGGTATTTCAAAGGACCCCTCACAAACAACTTAGGTTATTATGCATGAGATAGACGAATTCGTCAATGCAAACGAAGCAAAGTAGATTTAGATTTGTTCCATCGGTTATGAAAATTTGACAAAAGCGTAACGTTGAGGTAGAATAACTCCTTCGCTACGTATTTCTGAGGTGGTTATGAAAAGAATTGATGATCATTGCAGCCTGCTGGCGTTCAAGCTTCCAACTGTAACTATAGGAAGGTTAGTAGTGTACTACCACCGAAACTTTCTTTTCCTATTGAGACATATCTTCTGTCCGTAAAGATACCTAATGACGGAGGATTGACAAGGTTTGCTTTGGATTTTGACCTCTTGAAAGATCTTCACATTTCTTCAAATTTGTGATGTGTGTTATGGCTAATACAGGATAACGAGCTTAGGTGTCTTAGAACTTTCATGATTCACTCTTAGCTATCTATCATATACTCTCGCTGAGTCCTCTTGACAATCGCACTTATTTCATTGGAAAATTGTAGCAAAATCTATGCGATTAAATTTACAATGTTCTCGGCTAAAATAATTAATTTGATTTGAACGAGACACGACTACACGTCTCCGCTCGAAGAAGCAATTTTTCCCTTCATTTTCATGACAGAGGGCGCTTTTAAATGTTATAGTTAAGGATCAGATACTTCGATTCAAATTTTCGAACTTTTGTGTACCGCTTTACTAGGAAATATCTCATAATCATGCTGAACCTTGAGCGATATGAACGCAACTAAACCAAGCAAACTTAGTACGTTTAGTCGTTTATTTCGTTAAAATACCTGCTAAATGTATTCCGTTATATTATAAGTCTAACCACATCCTATTTGAACAAGTTGTTAGGAGCAATATCGTTCTTACCAAAGTTGTTTTGAAATGTGTGCAACCTAGCGTATGAACTCATCCCAGCTCATGCAGATCGAATCAGATTGACAGCTGTGCACAAGATCGGTTCCAATTGGCTTACACAAGAGGTGTGTTTGGAGGTGGGTCGAGATGTGAATAAATTTGAGTGCTGTTTGGCCAAGCAAACTTTCTTGTGGCACGGATTACAGTGAGAACGTGCTATACCTCAATTAACGCAAAGTTAAATTTAACGAATAAAAGACAGGTTGTCACAATTATCAGTGATCCAAAAGGTTGCCTATGTGTTTTGAATCAAGGCTCACTGGTTTTTAATTATTCTTCATCGACTTTACAACGTTCAGCCTGTGTTCCATAAGTGGATTTCCTCGAATAACTAACTAATGGGTAACACAGAGTTTAAAATCTCTTCGATGTCCTATTCTGGAAAAAATGTAAATTACTTTTCATCAAGATTTTCACCCATAGCTCGATGCATTAACCGTTTCTGAATGTACGACATATTTACCGCAAAATATGTAAATGTAGAGTTGAGTTCGAAGTAAGAAAGTGACTAAATTGCTTTCAAGGTATCATTGTCAAGAGGACGTAAAACTCGAGTGTCAGCTTGGCTAGATTTCAGGACTGAGCGATCATTCACTGTATCAGATTATTTCGAGGCGAATAATTTGTGTTAGGGATGGACGATTTCGTCGACGCAACTATGAGAACGCAACGAAGCAAAGTAGATCTAGATGTGTTCTATCGTTAATGATAATTTGACAAAAGCGTAAACGCTGAGGTAGAATAGCTCCTTCGCTAAACATTTCTAAGGAGCTCATGAAAAGAATTGATAAGCATTGCAAGGTACTGGCTTTTAAGTTTCCGGCTGTAATTACAGGAAGGGTTGACGCTATTATTAGAAGTTTAGTATACGACCAATGTAACTTTCGCTTTCTATCGAGACTTATATTCTGTCAGTAAAGATACCTGGTGATGGAGGATTGACAAGGTTTGTGTTGGATTTTGACCTCTAAAAAGATCGCAATATTTGTTCAAATTTATGATGGTGCTATGGTTAGTACAGGAGAACGAGCTTACGTTTCTTAGAACTTTCATAA